ACTTCCCAGGTTGTATTTAATTCTGGTATTTTTCCTGATGAAGCACTGTATATTCCCCACACCCACACCTGCTGCCCTTGGCTAACCTCTAGACTTAAAGGTATGTGGTTACGCGGTCTTGCAAGTTTGGGGACAAATAAGGTGAGGTTTTTTACCTTGCGCTGTTTGTTGTCAAGGGGCTGTTTTTGTTTCTTGCTTTGTAATCTGCCCAGTAAGTACTAAACCAGATCTCAGCAAAGGAGCATTGTATACACAAACAACAAGACATTATTTATTTAAAACATCTCTTGTTTTAAGGCTTGTGTATGGCATGCAAAGTTCAACCCGAAATTTCAGGTGTGGGGGGTAATGTTTTGCTAACGGGTGGATCTACGCTGAAGTTAAGTACTTCAGCACAGGGTGCCTGAAAACTTTAATTGTTGGATTTTTCCATGAGCAGCATCCAAAATGATGAGGTCTCCTAAGGCATTGCTCATCTTTTTTATGGTGATTAGACTCATCACTTCATTTTCTGATTGCCCTTCTGAGAACTACAGCAAATGGCATTAAATACTGGTATTGTAATTGGTTATGTATGGAGAATGTAATCTTTGCTCTTTGTTTTTAGCAAGTAAGAATTATTCTACAGATACCACTGCATGGAAAAACTCAATCGGGTACCATGTAAGACAACATGAACTCAGTATATATTCTGAAAAAAGTATTTAAAGGAAGTTTTTGCTGTCCAGTGATGATTGTTAGTTGTGGTTAAAATGCTAGGCCAGTTCAAAAATCAGAAGACAGGTTTATATGTACGCAGGAGCAATCCCTGCATACTTCAGCCCTGAAGCAGAGCACAGAGGAGAAAGCAGAGCTATTTTGATGCATCCTGTTTGGTCTTTGGACTCTTTTTGTTGTGTAATAGTTGCTGCCAAACACAGAATAACTTTGGAATGAGGACACCTGTCAAAACCAGACATCAGCGACCCTGCTCACCTGCATCACTACATAACAGCGAGGTATTCACACCTAGATGATGCTTGGATGGGCTGTGAAGCCATCACACAGGTATGTGAAAGGTGCTGAAACGTATTTCTAGCCTGCCCTTGTATGCACTTCTGAATACACAGCCTCTCTGTCTCCTATATACATTGGCAGCAGGACTGTATTCATTGCCACTACTATAATGAACATATGTGAACACTGACAGGTACCGATCAGCAGCAAGAAAAACTTCTGTGTGTGACCCATCGCTGCACTGCCTTGCGGTTCTCAGCACGCACCGCCTGATGCATTAAGATTTGACCCAGCCCAGCCCTATGGCTATGTCTGGTCATCCAAAGGTGGCGGCAAGTATGCAGTCGCTGCCAGCAGCCGGCCTGTGCACAGCAACACGCCCTGTCTGCTCAGTGCAGTAAAGGACAGGCAGCTGCCTTTGTTCTGGGTTGTTGGATGGTTTTAGGCACCGTAACCTGGGCCTGCTTAACGCTGAAGCACTCTAAGGACTGCTGCATTTACCAGTCCTTCCTCTGCAATAAAGAATGACTTGTGAGAAGTGGGGCTGCCAACAGAAAGGAAGGGGAAATGGGAAAAAACAGAAAGACCGTTTTTGGTAGACCTCCTGAATTCCAGCCTGCCAAGGAACCTATCTAATGGAGATCATTTGTAGGCATAAAGAGATTTAGATAGCAACATTGCCCAGAGAAAAATTTGATTTAACCCATCACATCATACCTGAACCAAAACTTAAAGTTAGCAGGGTTTTTATGGCTGTGGCAAAGGATGGAGTGAGGATTTTCAGTAGAAGATTCAGAAGTCTGTAAAGGTGGGCAAGTTCAAGTGTTGGTTATTCTGCTAGTCTATGCTTGCTGTGCGCCTACTTGGTAGCCTAAAAAAAAAAAATCAGTATTTACTCACACACTGCTGTGGCAATGCAGGCTTCCTGCATGTTCTGATGCAGAAAAGACAGCTCAGTTCCTTCTCATTCCTAATGGACAAAGTCCTTTTTACCCAAGGCTCTGAGGCAGCTTTGATACTCTGCCAGCTCTAACATTTTCTAGCATCATGCTGTCTTGGCTTTGTGGACAAAATCCTCCCATATCAGTGTTTTCCTCTTAATTCCCAATGCAAATGCAAGACATTTTGTATTCCAAGAAAATCCCCTTCCTAAAAACATTACAAACCACACTGGGTTTCAAGGTGTTTAAGAACAAGAGCTACAACTTGCAGGGGGTTAAATACATATACACCACTTCTCTCTCCTCGTATTCTGTAACAACCCTGTTGTTTTCTGCTTCCTAACAGGGCAAAAATCTCCTTTCTCCCATGGTTCAAGCAGCAGTGGCTCATTACAGACTTCTGAGAAAGGGCAGCCTCGGGGGTACCAGTGGTTACTTCTGAGTAAGGTTTTAAACAGTTTCATCTGACAATTTCTGAACAATCAGGTAACATCCAATTAAGATTTCTCTTCTTAAGCATATACAGGCAATATAAACTGTCATGCACTAAAACTCCTTAGGGAAGACAGGCAATTTTGTCTGGGCAAAATAATTCAATTGATTAGTTGGCCAACATGGCCACAGCCTTCATCTAAGAGATCAAAACCGGTATCAAACACCTCAGAATTTCTCTACATAAAATACAACCATCTATAATGACATTTAGTATGCTGTAACAACATTTTTTATCCATAGAAGTTCAAACTGTGCTGAAAGGACAAAAAATAACATGCCAGAAATTACTATTTTACCAGATTAGAGGTTTTGTGCACTTGTACACCATTAGCTACATTTCAAATGTATTATTTCAGATTAGCAGATAGATTAATGAAGCATTTTAGAACATGCTAATCTGCAATTCTAACTGAAACAAAAAATTCTGAGGTTTAGACTAGATATAAGGAAGAAATTCTTTACAATAAGGGTGCTGAAACACTGGCACAGGTTGCCCAGAGAGGTGGTGGAGGCCCCATCCCTGGAAGCATTCAAGGCCAGGTTGGATGGGGCTCTGAGCAACCCGATCTGGTTAGTGGTGTCCCTGCTCCTGCAGGGGGGTTGGACTAGATGACCTCTGGGGGTCCCTTCCAACCCAAAACATTCTATGATTCTATGAAACAGACACATCCAGTTCCCCCCACAGGCTTGCACTTCAGCTGTTTAAACCAAGATGAAATCAGCGTTTCCTTGTCTTCCCTGGTATTTTAGCATGAACTACATATGCTCAGGCTAAACAAACCCTGCTAGGAAATGGGGTTTTGCATTGCCCCACCCCACCCAACCCCCTGCTCCATACAGGCAGACCTTCAAAAGCCCAGGACAGGTGTTCACTTTTGCCAGCGCCTCCGGCAGAAGCTCCCGATCCCAGGGTGCTGCTGGAGGACCAGTCTGAGATTGCTGCCCAGTGTGATTTGCCTGGAAGCGATGAAGGGAGCTCCCACAAGGTACTCTGTTGGCTCTGCCAAGGGCAGAGATTAATAGATGGTAAAGGGATAACTAACCAGTCTAGCTGCCTTTTGAGAACACCTGTCTACTGCCTAACTTAAATCTACATTGTTTGTTTTTACCGGGATAAGTCTTCCTTGGACAGACAGGCGGTACTTCTGCATCTAGCCTGACACGTAGTTCACAGAACTGACTCCAGTACTGATTTCAGTATGAATTTATAGGGGTCCAAAGATTTGCATTGGTGGACAACAGCAGGGTCTAGGAAAGGAAGCACATTAAACCGGAAAGCTTGTAAAACTTCGACGCCCAAGAGAAAGTTTAGTTACCTTTCTACCTACTGCCAATGGTAACAAGCAGTTATATGCAGGTATGTTGCTTTCTCCACCGAAGAAAGGTATTTTCCATGTTTCACTATCCATCATTTTTTCCAATCTTACTGCCTCAAAATATGCTTCATTAGGATCACTTACATCTACCTAAAATACATCTAGTTATAGAGCTTTATATTTGATAAAAATCAATACAGTATTCAAAACTGCTTGCCAAACACCATTCCAAAGTTTCTGAGAGTTACTGTTGAACAACAGTTTACATAATTGTGATTCTGTCCCAGCAGAAATCACCTATTAGCAAACTTTCCTCAGTAGGGAACTTCCCAGGAAATGTGCTTATTATCCTGAAATCCTACCAGCAAATGAAGAAACTGCTTTAACTGGGATAATCCAAGCTGCACAGCTTGGGAACCCTTGAGGTCTTAACATATACTTAAATATATAAACATATGCACAATATAGGAAAAACAGTAAAGGAAGTTTGATTTTTTTTTTTCTACTTGCCAGACTAGTTTCTCAAACTTCCCACATTACTGAAAATCTTCCATGTTTTAACAAAAAAGAAAGAAAAAAATTTTAGACTAAGAGAACATTTATAATATACGAAGCAAATCTTTAAAGTATGTGGTTTTAAAGAGTTGGAAGACTTAATTACAAAATGTAGGGGGGGAAATGTAAGAAGTTTTCTTTAGAAAATGTAATACGAATATTGACTTTCGTCTTACCTGGAACTAGACTGCAACTGCAAAAGTGATCAGTTTACTGTTTTAATTGAGAGAAAACATCAGTTTTCTTGCTCCAGATAATCCTCCAGTTCCCAAACTGCCAATTTATCCCCTTCGTATTTATGTTTATTGTGTTCTGTGTTTGTGTTCGCCAAGTCCCAGCCTCACACAGTGAAAGGTACCACAACCCACCGAACCATTCTCACTAGCCTATCACAGGGATTAACTGTAGCATAATTCAATAGATTTATTCCTCAAGATTATTTTCTCTTTTACAACTGTTTTCAAAGGGACAATGTTATATTCAGAATTTAAATTCTTTTGCTGAAAATTAAACTGTGAGCAGTTCAGGCCTGCATTCTCAAAAGGCTTTTTACGTGGGTATGTTTGTGAATTTACTCAAATGTTTAAACATTCATAGAAACTGCTAAGAATATGTAAGTGTTTTGGGATACAAACATTTGTTCTTTTTGCTCTGAGATTCAGACCGCAAATAATAAACACAACTCAGTCTGTTCCAACCTTTATCTTCAAAAACATACAGGCAACCCAACTCAGGAAAATTTACACGATCAGCTCTCCTTTCAGTTTACATTTACTAACCCAACTTCCTGGCTAAGACTTCAGCTGAACATAATGTGTTACTCAAAATTCTTTAAAGCAAATGACATCCAAGTCCGAGACATCCAAGACATGCATTTTCTATCCTGACTTTTTGCATGTAGCTTTCTTTCCTTCTTCCTCTTTTTTTAAGCTCAAACCCAACCTTTAAGAATTACATTTCAGTATTCAAATGATTGCAATGTCCTATTCTTTACAGAATATTACAAAGAACATAAAGAAACCTTTTCTGAAAGAACAGCAACTTGTAATTGTCTTAATTGTCCTGATTTTCCCCAGATCTTTATGCTAAACCGTTAGAGAAGCCACCTCCAGCAGGAACGTAAGGCATGACTAATCACTGCTCAAATTTAACTGAGCTAATGTCTATTTATCATATGGGAAATGAAGGCAAAAAGCAGTGCTGTGAATCTGATAACTGGCCGCAGTGGAAATAATTTTGTTGCCAATTCTTACATTCTGATGACTCCGTGTAATATAAATAGATTCTATTCGCTATAGCAGCCCCATCTTTGTTGGAAACAGAACTAGTCATATCATAACTAAAATATAAATTTAAATATATGCATTTAGATTTTAATATATGGGAATCCACACGTAAAACATTTAAACATGGCTTAGAAGCAAAGCTGAGGGACAAACTTTGTGTAAATATTTTCTTCCCCCCTGCTACCCAGAGCAAAATCTTTCATTCATATAGCGGATAAAACTACTTCTTTCTTACCAACTTTTGTTTACACAAAAAACCCACATTAGGTTCATCCAGTATATATACTGTATGTTTCAATAACTTATTTTTTCAGTATGAAATAGCATCTTCAAAAAGATGACAAACAGCAGTCATCTTGAAATGATACTCTGAAAATATGTATTACCTGTAGAAAAAGCAGGAATAACATATGGGACTATTAAGCTTAGAATTTGTGCCATATTTTTTTTTTTAAAGTGATCTTTTGTATAATCAAAATGTAAACTACAAGACTGTAGCTTGAAAAAATATTTTTGAAATATTAAAAAAATAAAATGGAAACAATATATAACATACAAATAAATGAAATAGTAAACACAAAACCTGCCTAGATGAAGGAAACTGGGTGTTCATAAAGATTCTATGCAATTTCCAAAACCCATTTTTGCCTAGCTTACCTATATTCACAGCATGTTCTCAAATGCCAAGTCAGATTTAGTAACAAGAGTATTTAAACATCATTTTGACACACAAAACATGAAGATATTTTTTTTTAACCAATGTTGTATCAATCACATTTATAATTTTTCTTATCGCATGTGATCAAATAGAACAGAAAACCAGAATGTATACATTGCTGTTTTTTTAAGTAATGTTATGTACATTTTATTGCCAGTATATGCACAATGGTAAGCATAGAACTATAAATACACAATGTAATTAAACAGTAGAAAACAACAAGGATGTTACACATAACAAAGGAAAGAAAGAGGAGATACTATTTTCTTGATGTAGCTGCTAAAAAGGGCTAGTGACAAGTTATGACAGTCTTGGTTTTAAGTCTTTATATATATTTCTACAACTTTTCCTCCAAATAAATCTCTGAAACGGCATTGCTGCTTTAACAACCACATCTTAGCTCTTTCTATTGGATTCACTTCAAACTAAAGTGAAAACAACCTTTCATGTAACTACAAGCAACTGACTTAATTTTTGTTCAGTTCTGCTTTTCAGGGTTCCTAGCAAGTAAAGTGTGTAAGTAGTTTCTTCTGATATTTGGCTGCAATGTTGAAGAAGAGAGTTTTGAATAGACATCAAGTGGTAATTCGGGAACAAAAAAAAAAAAAAGGAATATTTTCTGTAGATAGTTCTTCCACCGGGTGCTATATGCAGCAGCTCAGTCAAAAATTAGTCACCCTGAAGAGGTAGAGAGAATTTTAGCCTAGCATAGATCATCATCCTTGGCACCGCTATTTTCTCTCTTATCAGGATACACTTCCTACAACTAGACAACATCACAGTCAAAGGGAAAAAAAGTCAGGAAAAAAAAGTTCCACCATTCCTGGGAAGGGCACTGTTTCATCCCAGTTCTCAGTTAATTAGCTTGCTGCTTATATCCAAGACCAAAAAAAAAAAAAAAAGAAAAGAAGAAAAAAGAAAAAAAGAAAAAGACAACATTTAGGGACACATTTACTTGATCTTTGTTCTCTTTCCATTATCAAGTCCATAAATACAAAGAACCATTATTCACAATAAACTAACTCTTTTTCAAAAATGGAAAAACAAACCCTGGAAACAATTCCACACCTTAATCCAGATGGGTCTTGAGGATGCTATTCAAGAAAACCATGCAAATAATTTGGTGCAGCTTTCCCAACTCATCCAAAATATATATATTTTTTTTTAAATTAAAGGGTGGCAAGATCCATAGCATTTGTGACTATTCCCCCTCCCCCCCCCCTTTAAATTCAATGCAGAAAATCTCGGTGCTTTTAGGAAGGTAACGAATAAATAGTTTTCTGCACTGTTGTCATAAAATCCCATGTGAGTTACAATACAAAGACTACTTGTTCCAGCAATTAGGTTGAGAGGAAACATTCTAGTGATAAAGATAAATACATACTGAGCATGCTTGGGCAGAGCACTCCATTCTGAAGCATCCTGCTTGAAGAACGAAAGGTGACAAGGATGGTTCACGTCCATCAAGTGACCATTAACTCTGCTGCTAAAAAGCAGACTGCCACACTATCACCAGGTCAGCAATGCTACCCTGAAAGGGCTGTCTTCCACATTAAGAGGTACTGGTTGTACCAGTCCTCTACTGCGCACACTAAATTCTTATTTATGCAACAAACATACAACCAATGAACAATATCACTTTTACAGAACTGGATCAATCCAGCTTTTTTTATAGGCATATTTCTCAATCTCCAGAATATCCCAAACAAGCTGTAAATAAGATGATGAACCACCACCACAGCGAACGAGTCTCACTGCAGTTCAGACTAGTTCAGCCCTGGTTCACATCACTTCTTGTTTCTAGCAAAGGACATGATACTCAAACAAAATAGCAATAAAAAAGTAATGCTATCTGCAGCTGAATAAAAGCAACAGAATTTATATTTTAACTTCTGAAGCTTAAAGCATACCTTTTTAATTAGCATTAAAAAAAAATCTTTTTTAAATACAGTAACACTGGCAAAAGTTAATGGGAAGACACAGAGGATTGCGAACAGGATAACTGATGGATTAGATTATTTTTAAATTTTATTCTGCTTTGATCAACTGATGTTAATACTGTTTTTCCTTGGATTTGGAATAATTCTATTGCAACAGTCACATGCAGGCTGAGGACAGCCGTTGGTTAAGGAAAAAAACCAAACAAACAAAACAAAAGAAAGGGAAAAAAAAAAAATCAAGAAAAACATTCCAAAAGTTGTATGTGAGAATTTTCCTTTCACTGAAGAGGGCCTTGCCCCTGCTTTAGGAGACCTGGTTAATTCTTGTCAGCTTCATTAGCTTTGTCCAGACATATCTGCTGTTGTATCCCCTGGTCCAGAGCCTGTTTGTGCACGTTTGATGTAAAGGTTCAATAATTTCATCTGCAAATTTAAGCCAGAAATTCACTTTGTTTAGTATTTGCAAACTTTACAGACTACAGGAATGGTACAACAAAGGACACGTTAAATCATTTTCTTTTCCCCAAAAGCAAAATTGTATTTTACACAGCTGATTCAAAGGTAACATACTTGCCAATGAAAACAAACACAGAAAAATTTATCATAAGGAAACTGCTCAAGCATCTTTAAGGAAGTAAAGAAGAGAATGATCTAAGGTAGCTACATTAAGATGGAATATTTTCCTCAAATTACAATGCTATTCTAAGTAAGGTAGAGGGCTTTTTTTTTTTTTTTTTTTTTAAGTTAACTTTGAGGTTAAGAGTTGTTGATGCTGGTACTTACTAAAGCTTCCAGTACTGTCTAGAATCAAATTCAACACAATCACTGGCAAAGAGTATTTTTAAGATAAAACTGTCTTATTCAAAGATATACAAAATGAATTGTCCTGTTTTATTCACAAGGACAAAGAGATTCACAATTAACATACAGCTTGCAAAAAACTGTATGAAAGAGATGTCAATAAAATCATAAATATCCTGAACCAAAAAGGACCACAGACTGATTACTATTATTATTATTTCAAATTAGAGGTACTGAAAGGACTGATGAAAGCAAAATAACAAGGAGGGAGAATAAATAAAACCACTGTATGCAACATCTACGTATTCCATTTATTGCTTTCCAATCGGAACTTGCATGAAAAACAAGACAAGAAATACTGATAGGAAAAGCCATGCTGAATACAGCCATTATCGCTGCTACACCCAGGATACAACCCGTAACTAAATCCACTAAACAGCAGTAAGAAACATAACTTGGTATTTCTCTTGATGCTCAAGTTTGTACACTTGCATAAATAAAGATCTATGGATTTTCAGTTTTGAACATTTTATGATGAAGTTATATTAATCCTCGGAGGGTTTCAGTAGCCCTGATATTCTCATTCAAGTATATATTTCTATGAAACTTTCTGGCAATTGCAACCAAAATGCAAATGCATATATGCAATTATGAACCAAGATTTCTTTAAATGGTATCTTTTACTTACTTTACTGCCAGTGAGTTGACTGAGATGTGGTTTTAGTTCATCACCAATTACTGCATGAATGGCTACAAGGCAGAAAACACATGCCTTACGAACACTGCTCTCTGAATTATCATAACCCTAGAAAGCAATAAAATTAACATTAATACCTTATCAGTTAATGATTAAAAGCCTCGGAAAGCATTTACTTATTTACTATAATAAATATACTGAAGTCTACAGTAAATGAATGCTAGTGTAGCTCAATGAAGCATTCCAACAAAAAAAACCCCCAAACATGCAACTACAGAGCATGCACTTAAAAAGCAGGCTGGTTATTAATCGCCATTGATAATCATTTTCCAGACTGAAATCAAAACCCACGCAATGCTGTTCCTAAGTTACACTGACAACAGTTGCTGTCACGCAGTAGAGGAGTACATAAGAGAAATTGTGCTAGATTATGCAGATATTTACTTAAAGCAGAAGACCACTCCATTTAGAGCTTTTCTACTCTGAAAGAAGTGTTCTCTTAACAGCTAAAGATTCTTTTGTTAACTCCCATCTCATTCCTTAATGATTTTGTTTCTTTTGCCACTTTGCTAGTACCCCATATGCCTGGCTGTCTCACTCACACCCTCTTCTCAGAGGGCCCCTTCTTTGCCTCTACCTTCCTGCAGATGTACGACTGGATCACACCCATTAAAGGCAGAAATCTGCAGAATGCAGCTGTTGAACTCTGAAAAGTCTTTATCCATCATGTGCAAATATATGTATGCTGGCTCTTGATAAGTTGGGAAAGAATTTATTGTTAAAGACAAAGAAGAGAAACCTCTGATATCTTTCTCGTTTTACTATACTTCCTCCAATCAACTGCTTCTTTCCCCTTGCCTTCCCCAAAACCCAAATGATAAAACCCCACAATTATACACAAATAAACCACGGACAATTTCAGACCAAGCCTGGAAACAGATACAAATAACAAAAAGTTATCTTATAGCTAGAAGTACCTACCAAGCTTAACTATAACCAGTACTTTATATCCTACTGAGATTCCCTTTGAGTTCTAACCACAGTTATAATTTAGCTACCTGCCAATCAAAGAGTTTGCTCCCACCATCCGAGTTGATTTACATCAAAGCAACCATCAGCTATCAGACAAATAAAATCCTTCATGAGAGCCAAGTGATATCATTTTTACAAAGTCTTTGCAATTTTTTATATATACAGGTTCTTTTTCTTTTTTCCTTTCTTTCTTCTCTCCTTACCTGTATTAGACCTGGCACAATCTCTGGTAAAAGCTGAGTAAGGGTTTCTTTAGATACTCTTTCTATGACTTTTGTTTGCATTTTGATTGCAGCCAGATTAATGGGGTAATCTGCAGTTTGGATAATTGGACAAAGAACTTTGATGCACTGATCTGGGCTAATGGAAGTGGCCAGCATGGAAGCAGCTTCTTCAGCAGATCTCACCACCTATTGAAAGAGGAAGTAAAAGACATGGAAAAATTATTTACAAGAGACACTTACTATGGCCTGTTATCTGGCAGTAATGGTCTTGAGCATAAGAATTTCTTACCAAGAGCCCTCCAACACCATAGAAATATGTGAATGAAAACCCCTTTGAACATCTGTTTACAAGATTCCAATGCTTGGACGTACCTTCCTAAAACCAAGATTCTTCCCAATATTCTGTGGCTAATCTACATCCTTGGCAATATGCGTATCAGTTTTTCAAACCTGCTTGTTGAATTGGATCTGAAATTTCTCTGTTCTGCAATACGCTCCCAACCACCTATTGAAATACCACCACCTTTGTAAATCTGTAATTTCTCCTGTGGTCATTTCTTTTGCTTGTTATGTCAGTGATCACTGACATGTTTTCATATTCATCTCAAAACCATGTTTAATGACACGCCTAGATTACTACTTCTAGAAGTAAATCTAGCTGTTTTGCCTCCCCTCTAAGTTTGACAGAAGCTATGATAAGAGTACTTCAAACCTGAAGCATATGCAGAACAAGAGTAATTAGGTAGGAAGTCAAGAGGTACAGAAACTCAGGATACAACATGAGCACAACAGAGAAAATTCACATCTGATCTTCCTATTAGTGCATCTGTGGCGCCTGCCATCCAACAAGACAAACCGCTGTACAAAATCTGCAGTTTGTACACCAATCATGTACAAAAACTTCCATAACTGTTTCTCTCCATCCTTGTCCCCTTTACTCTCTCACTCACATACACGATACCAAGAGAGAGAAAAAGTGCAGTAACAGAGAAGGAAAGATGGGGACAAGCCCCTGTAATAAATACAGTATATGAAACAAGTCAAGAGGGTGCAGGGAGAACAGAAATTAGTATCAGATTAAGTGACAAAAAGTCATTGGCATGGGAGGAACTGCAGTCAAACTTCAAAACCTGGAACTCCATAGTAAGTTCCATACAGAGTAACTGCCCTTGCACGGGGAGGGCAGGGAGAAGATGTAGTCATTTAATAATAAACTCGGATTCTTTCTATAGCATCAGGGACACTGATGTGAACTATTTGCTGCTGGGGTGGTTACTGTATTTGTGTTTCTTACCTCCACATGCATTATCCTTTATTATTTATGCGTGCATCACAAATACTTCTCAGCAAGGTTGCAGTTACCCTTCTACTACTGAATCCCCTCACCATTCTCAGCCACAACCAACTCCTCCCTTTAATATGTTCCTGTGCGTTCTCCCTTAACAACATTCAAAGCCACACTCTCGAATGGTGCAGAGCTGGCTAAAAACGGAAAGGTTTGACAATTCCTTGCCACGTTCAGTCCCATCTCTCAACCATGAACCTTAATGAAATCAAAAAGCTTGTTGTTGCAGAGCTCCAGCACACCCGCATCTGGCTTAAGATGTCACACATGGAAAAAACTCCTTTCAGTTACTCCTTGAAGAGCTATGATGACGCGTCGTTGGTTACTATGTCCTCCTGGACGGCACCCAAGGCAATTGTTATTAGGGCTGATATTAAGCATTTGAGAGCTTATTAAACAGCAGTTCTTTTTTTTTCTTGCATACCCATGTTAACTAATAACAGCTGAATGCTTGACTATTAAACAAATTACTTCCTCAGTGAGATTTCTCAAACATTTTTTGGGCAGCTGTTTAATTTTGTAATAATTTGTCATAACCTCAAACAATAGAATAACTGGTTACTAACCTCCTTATGAGGATCCTTATGCGCTTCTAATGTCTTCATGATTGTGAGCTCTGCGTAGTTCTTAAACCTTGCTGGCTGGTTTCTTAGAATTTCTCTTAGAACTTTCAATGCCAAAGCTCTAATTGCATGCTAAAGATTTAAGATTACAATAAATGAGTTACATATCTTTAAACAGGCATACATTTTAACATTTGTTCAGCAGCTGGAAAAGTCTTTGATAACGTAAAACTATCACATTATGCTCTACGCGTATATTCAGTAAGAACCTAGTGTCAGCAAATAAAGCTAGAAAAAAATCTTCAGTTTCTCACTCTTCTCAATCTCTCTTTTTGCAGATAATTCAGGTGGCATATCATAAACATGTCGCTAACCTAAGTTATCTACGCTACCCAGAAGTTGCAAACAATTTTACTTTTTACAAATACTGCTAAGACCTTTAGTATTACGTCATACAAATATATTTTTAATTTTATTTTTTTTTTATAAATTCTTTTCAAATCAAAGCCAAGCTTTATTGTCTTTTTGATCCTCAGTAATTTCAAAAACATGGCCCTTGTAGAGAACAATTACACAGAACTCCGTCTCTTCACAATGAGCATTACTGTATTTCAGAAATATATTTTGAAATGCTTTGCCATACATGATGTTTTGATATTCTAGATTTCACCAGGGGCTATTAACAGATAAGCTTTGAATCCCAGTGAAAAATGCTTCATTTAATCTGTCGTGGGAATTGACAAATAGGAATACTTGAGAAGGTGAGTATTACTGATGCCTTTTTCACTATAGGGCATTCAGGCTTTATGACATTTTTGTATTTCCACAGTTTTTTTGTTTTTTCAAGATTAACTGGAATTTGTGCCCTTCCTACAACCTACACAAATGTCAAAGATACTGAAAGCAAACCATGTGCTTTGTTAACGTTCTTAACTGGATTGATCTGAATTCACCTCTTTATCTCCAAGTGTTTCAAGCAGCAAAAGTAGTATTGTTTTGAAGTGCTCATCCCAAACACCGAAAGACTCTTCCTGAGTTAACTTCATGAGCTCGTACAGGGCAGCCTTTCTTTCCTCAACTCTCTCATTATGGTTTGATAACTCTTTCAGTAACTCTGCAACCAGATCAGAATGGTCCATGGGAGGCTCTGTCAAGAAGGAATACACAAACACAGTTCTCAGATCATTGCAAATAAATATTAGTGCCTGTTGAACAACTGAAGGATATTTTCTAGGCTGGCTGGCTGGCTTTCTAGCATGCTTTTATTTTTTTCCCTGAATTTGCCTGCAAAAATTGCAGTTTGGCTACTACATTTTCAGTGCAGCCAACATTGCTTAACAAGCTTACAATCATCAAAAAACCCCCACAATGATATTGCAACCCCCCCACCTCTGTAAGCTAGTTTACCGCAAGGTTTTTTATTGCTTGCGGTACCCAAAGTGGTAAATACTCTGCATCCTTTTAAACCTGATCTACACACTAAGTGCTACCTTTTCCATATCACCCTTCCATCCAAGATGATAAATTTGTCTTTTCTCCATTAGTATTACAGAATTGCTTAGACTTTTGTAAGCCATGGTTCCACAGCACTAGCTAGGCTGTTCAAACAGGGGGAAAAAAATGCACAAGAACGGTGCTTGGTACAAACCAGCTGAAATAGAGGCAAATCAAGGCCGTTAGTCCCACAGAGATTCCTAATAGCAGTCATTGCAAGATGGCTCTGGACTTAATTTTGATTAGAGAGGATTCCATGATGATGGAAAAATGCATTAGTAACACAACCTGTATCTGTAAACACTGGACTGCAAACTGAGAGATCTGCAAACAGTCAAGAAACTTAAAAATGGCCTTAATGAAAATTAAATATCAAGTTGCCTTTATTCCATCATCAAGACAGAAAAGCATACAGCATTCCACTGAGAGTTTTGGATAAATTAACAGAAACAAACTTTTTTTTCTAGAAAAAGGTCGCAAGTATTGGCATAAAATGCAAGTGTTCCTGCATTGCATCTTTCCTAAAATTATTCCATTTATTAACACATGAAATAGATTGTCCACAACAAATTTGTTAGGTCATATACTGAAATCGCAGCCCTTGAACATCTTACATGACTGTATTCAATATTGTAACTTACAAACGTTGTAGAAAGCACCTGTACAAAGAAACAAGTAAAAGCTGAATACCACATATCAAGTATCTTAAAATCGCCTATCAGTTAGCTTAAAAATCACACTGGTTTTGTACCCAACATTCCTATTTGCATTCTGTTTTGCATGAATAATCAGGAGCATGAGCACCTGAAAGCAGAAACCTTTTTCTGCAAGTGCTTCTACTGCCTCTATATTAATGCATGCTTTGCAGACTCTCTAAATGGATCATTAATGTTTGCCTGAAGGACAGACTGAAATTGCGTTAGGCAGGTTATTAATTAGTACAGATGCACAGAATGGACAATCACTTTTATAGACGCAAAATCATTACTTTTATTACCAGAACTGTTGCACTTGTTCTACCAAGCTGTAAGGATTACAGCTCTAGTAAATCCTATTTTGGGGAATGCATATTGACACATAAGTAGCAAAACTACCCATATCTGTTTGAATAAAGTTATTTTCTCTCTGGAATTATCAGAATGAAAGAAGTGGCAACTTGAATGTATAGAGCGAAGGGGTAAAGAGAGGAGAAGGTAGCAGCCATGTCCATGTAGGAATAAGGGGAGGAAAGAAGCTCCATTAGTGGAGGAAATAGCTGGAATTCCTGAAAAATACGAAGACAACCAAGAGGGATGTGCCTTCACAGCCTGTGTCTTCCATTCCTCTGTATGACTTAGCACCCAGCATTTCATTTCCAAACACTCTCCAGATAAGAATGCAGAAGCATAAAAGTCATCATACTCAACATCTACTCTCAAAATTTCTTTTTCAGAAAGAAAATGAAACACAAATGAGGAAGAGCAGATGCAACTCCTGCTTTGAATGAATTAAAGTATGCATTAGAGGTAGAAATGTGTGATGAAGAGCAGCTCTTCTCAAACCAATCAAATAATATCCTTTTGACAGGATAAACAGTTATAAGGGTTAAAAGGGAAAAAGTAGATATATCCTGAATTTAGTAAAGATTTTCCTATGGTCACCCACAGCATCTTAATACAGAAGCTATGCAAACATGATGGCCAAAAATGCCAACGAAATGGGTACAAAACTTGATGAATCACTTGCACGGCAACTGGAGTATAAATGGCTTTCCATTAATCTAGGAGGATACGAGTGATGCCCCTGCTCAGGTCTGTGCAGAGCCTGGTTCTGTTTGATGCTTTTGTTAATGCTATGAAAGGAATACGGAGACCACTTATAAAATCTGCAGATGACAAATTTAAGAGCAGTTGCAAACATTACGGAAAACAGGATAAAAATTGAAAATTATCATGATAAATCAGAGGAATGGTCTGAAAGAAGAAATGTGATAAGTGTAAGGCAAGACACAGAAGCAGAAATTTTAAGCCAATATACAAAGCAGCAGGTAAAAAGGAAGATGTTTGGAAAGCACAGTTCATGGAAGTAAGCTGAAATAAATAAAGCTTCTTTGTAGAGGAACAGTGTTTTTCAAACCAGAGACGTGGACTGCTTGTAAAGAGTCGAAGTGACTTAGAAAGCCAGGTTTCCCTATGCTTCGGATAAAGAGGATCTCCTTTGGGAAAACAAAAAAAGCGCTGCTGGTTGGAAGATTTAGGCTGTTACTTTGAAAACCTTTTTACTGTAAGAGAGGCAAAACACTCAAATGGCCATGTGGGGTACGCTGTGGCATCTCCTCCACTGGGCATTTTCAGCTGTTAGACAAATCACCTGCAGACTACATGTTCATGCCTCAGTGCTGTGGACGGGACTATATAAGCAGCTAAGATTTTCCCATCTAGCCTTGCATTTCTGCATCTTTCTCCAGGTAACAGCAGAGGATAGGTAGGAGTCCAGTAAAAGCAGGACTTCATCATTAACAGACAGCAATTCTGTCGAGTTCCTGAAAATTAAAATCTAACATCCAACAAATGCTTCAGGTTTATGGGAAAAGCATGCAAGTCCTAATTGAGGGATTATGGGCAGAAAGTGTTTTGCCAAGTGTAACTTTTTCCATGCACACTTTTTCAAAATTAACTTAGATGAAATTCTGAAAGTAACACACAAATAACAGAATGCACATGCTATAACTAAAAACTAAGGGTGAACACAGGAATGAATGCAAGTATTTTGTTAAGATCCATTAAAAAGCTGACCTAAATAATGCATTGCACTACTCCAGACAGGACAAACTAATACTGGATGGGGATGCTTCGACTCCAGCCAGTCACGAGTTTTCACAAAACCAGAACATGCTGGTGCAAGCACAGATTGCGTTTGGTTTAATGCAGTATTCAGAAATATGTTCTGAGAAGGTATAAAGGGGCTTATCCCATGTAACAATAGGATCCCTGTAATACAGAATCTCAATCACAAACTGGCTTTGTATGTGGATGACAAAGGTATTTAATTATTAATATTTACATGACATGATCTGTAAACATTTGCTTTCCCTTCAATCTTTTTCAGAAGATAATAATTGGCCATATGCCTCTTCACTAAACAGAAGAGAAAGCAAAGAGAAATGCACCTTACTTGGATTTGTTTTTAATTTAATGTAAACTTAAAGCCAACTTATAGAATAGCTGAATAAAACACCACGTCAGAAAATACCTTTGTTTTTCAACAGTTTCTATAACACAACTTTGCTGGATGACAGAAACAAAATGGTCAGAAGAGGAAAAATTCATCTGCCCCTCACTATTAAGAAATTTGTTTACTTAAAGACTGATTGTAATCTATAACTGAATATGAAATATCAACAATAGTGAATATCAGATTATGAAAACCACCTACTACTTTTTAAATAACAATAGCAGTGATACTTTGGAACCTTCCCAATGTTTTGATATAAAAAAATTACCCAAAGTTATACTAAGAAATATTAAAAAGAAGCTCTAGAAGCCTACAGAACAACAGCCCAGGTTTCTAGATTTACGTGGGCTAAAAGAACCACCCTCCTGGTAAAAAGTGCAGGGGGGGTTGGAGGGGTTTTTTTTGTGTGTGGTTTTGGTTTTTGTTTTTTTTTTTTTTTTTTTTAAAGAATGTTTAGTCAATAGGAAACACCAATGTCATGTTTCAAATACAAATATATTACTAACAAAATACTTAATCTTTCACCTAATTCCCAAACTGGTTTTACTTCCTTGCTGTAAATCTGCTCCCCCCCCTATTTCAATCTTAAAGCAATCTGGTAAGTAAATTTATATTGACAATACTGCTACAGGATGTGCTATCAGAAGTACACAATATGGTTCAGCATTTATCTCATGTTTACCCTTAATCTCTATAAATACCAAGTAATCCAACAATGTCACTCAAAAGGATTACTAACAAAGGACCTAATTTGAAATATGGTATTTGCGAAAACCTCTCAAAGCAGCAGCACTTATGATACATATATTCCCAATGACAAATTCAGAAGCTGAACCTAAAGATGGAAAATCTCACCATTTTTCTTCTAGCACAGAATGCAATCTGAAGCTTACCATCAGGAAATTGCTCTGCATCATCATCAAACATGGCTTCTTTCAAAGCAGATTTATTAAATGAACTGATACCATCCGAATAATTGTATGGGTTATAATCTCGTGAACGTGGTGAAGAGTGGGGAGGCATTGTGTTGAGTAATGATGTTTTGTTATCAAGAGCTGTTCGGCCTGTGTCGCTCACACCACTTCCTGCTCGTAGGTCTACTATTCCAGAAGCGCTGCAAATCTGCAGGAAAAGAAATATCATACAGGCATACGAAATACATACTCACACTTTTCAATTAACCACATTACTAATTCACCTATCTAGCTAAAACTTACAAATTTCAAAAAATTGGAAAAAATTTGAAATTTCAAAAATTTCAAACTAGCCTTCAAATAAGAAGTCTTAGAAACAGTTCCCTAAACTTTGCTTTCCTTTCCCCATCCCCAAAAAAGGCAAAGTGTACAGTTCAAAAAAACTCATGAGCTAGAAGCAGCTGTCAGTACTTTATCTCAGAAGTTTGATGCCAAGTAATTAAAAACATGTTTAAGGATATACATATTTAGTAAGCTCAAAGCTGAAAGCCAAAGTTCCACAGAAACAGAAGTTTAAAATGCTGCATATAACACTGAAAAACTCACAGGTTTTGTATGGAATAAAATAAAACCTTTGGAAAAACATATATTAAGGTGCAGACCACTCAAACATTGAACTCCAGCTGCTCTGCAAGACAGTCTATTTTTAAATTGCTAATGTTTTAAATAAACAAACAGCTAGAGCTACATGGAATTAGCATTTACATTTCCAAATGTGGTTCAAGACTAGGAACATATTTTTCTAAAGTTTTGAAGTAATGTAGGAGAAATGTCTCATTTCAGAAGTTGTAACACATAAACCTACTGAAAAAGATGCTTTATCATCTGTAATAAATCAGTCATCAGCTTGGCTTGGTGATACCAAGACGTGCAGAGTTTAAATACTCACCGAATCACCATCATCTTTTTTGGAATCTCGTTTTACAGGCTCGTTCATATCTTCCTGACTACGAAAACTGAAATTCTGAATGGCTTCAGTGACTCCACGAAGAGAGCTGTAAATATCTTCAGAATTCATATTTTCAGTGTCATAGTCAAATGCACTGTGGGCCACAGAGAAGGACACAGGAATTAAGATGGATTTATTCTGTGACCCCATATTTTTAAAAAACATCACTGTGAAACTACAGAGACTAAAGAATTATTAATAAAATTATTTTTCTTGAAACACATTAAGGAAGAAAGCTGGCTCTCCACATAACAAAACTGTACTATGGTACATCTTAGTAAGTGTACTGCCACTGGCAGAGAAAGCACTGGGAGTAGCTAGCTAAGGGAAGGGCTACATTACGTAGCAGCACCTGGCTGAAGAAACAAACTTCTTTTGTCCTGTTTTATGAGTATGAAACAACGGGGATTTTTACACCATTATCTCTTTCTGAAAAAAGTTCCAAAGTAAGGAGGACTGATAAAACTCAACAGTTTTCACAGTAAGTTGATTGGTAAAAGCAAAATTACAAAATCCATGTCGGTACCACAAAATTAAAGACTGGAACATTTATGAACTACTACTTTCTTAGTCTCGCCAATATTAAGTCTGGTTTGATGACTTAACTGACCTATTCTAACACTTGCTAGAGATGAACACTTCCGTTCCTTCTCTTGCTAATCCATTTGCACTCCAAGGTGTGCAGCCCTTCCCACTTCAGGCCAGCCCTGGCACCTGCCAGACCCTTCAGGGAGGCTAAGCAGTTCACTGTACTGTCATTCTGTGGAGGGAAGGTGATTATCTTTCAGCATCTGTCACTTTGTGCAAAATTTGATCCATGCTTTCACTGTTGGGGTGACAATTTTGGATAATGTGTAATGAAGCCTTAGATGCAGAACTGTAGCAACACCAGCCTACATTACCTTGGTGACAATGTGTTCTGCGATGTATTGGTTGGGGAAGTGAGGGGACTTGACCAACTTGCTGGGGAACGTGGAGTAGGTCTTGTTAAAGGACTTCCCATTGATCCCTGCAGGAGGAGAGGTGAGAAGAGATACTCCAGTAGGACTTCAGCTTGCTGTTTAACTTGCTATTGTACTTACTTATTTTCTAGTGCCCAGAAACATTTAAAGAGCTTCTATTTAATTTCTTAGATTGGCTAACCAATTACTAGTAACTTCAATCATGTATAACTTTGAAACAAGTCAAGTAAAAGATAAACTACTCTTAAAAAGCACATTCAAACTTATTAAGTCACTTTGAAGCGCCCTAGACTTAGAAAGTATCATTCTCTGGAGGAAAGAGAAAAGGCATTCCATAAAGAGTGGTATCTGCTACCAAGACAGACTTCTACACAGGATTTGGGTTACCTGCCCTCCTCCTCCAACCTTCTTGCTCTCACAAATAACTCTACTGAAATGGGACTTAGTTTCAAAACACCAGTAACTTCAGTAAGAATAATAGGAAAGGTGTAGATACCTGACCACTGTTGCCTGTATTCCGGAGATGATTATGGAGAAGCTTCGTGGCTCCATCCTGAAATGTTTTTGGTAAAGCACCCAATAGCATTGTAAACTCTGGAGTGTTGAGTTCAAAAAGGGAAATCAGCACTGACTGTGCAGCCTAGAAGGAGGAGGTACAGATTGAAGACACTAATTTGAGTTTCTAAAGCAATTTTATCAGCAAGAGATGCTGTAATAAGTGGTAAACACAAAACATGACTTAAGTCTTGATCAAGCTTGAATAAAATTGTTAACAGATGTGAACAAAAGCAATTCATATTTGCTGGTAAACTGTAAGTTCAGATATTGACAATCCAGGTAGACAACAACGAGCTTACCCTTTGCACAATCAGCCTAATAAGTGGTCTTTCAGAAATATGTTCCCCAATCCCCCCAACCCCAGGTCCCTGCTTACTAAAAAAAAGTGCTGAAGGAATTCGCAAAGTGGCTTTTAAAGGGTTTGGGCAAGTTGAACAAATTTAAAGAGAGGAATGGAACACACCAGGCAGGACCAAGCCTGCAATTCCTTCTCCTGAGTTCTGCAAATGGTAATTACAGATGATGGATAATCAACACACTAGGCTTGAAAAGGAACAGTAATCGCTTTAGAAATTAGAAAAAACCCACCCTAAAAATCCCCCAAACCCAAACAGATACCCTAATTTGGAATGAGATAGTCTTGAGTTTGTGTTCTGATCACAGCACTTGGTATTAGAATCATAGAATCATAGAATCATAGAATGTTTAGGGTTGGAAGGGACCACTAGTGGTCATCTAGTCCAACCCCCCTGCAGTGAGCAGGGACACCGCTAGCTAGATCAGATTGCTCAGAGCCCCATCCAACCTGGCCTTGAATGTTTCCAGGGATGGGGCCTCCACTACCTCTCTGGGCAACCTGTTCCAGTGTTTTACCACTCTCATTGTAAAAAATTTCTTCCTTACCTCTAGCCTGAACCTACCCTGTTCTAGTTTAAAACCATTTCCCCTTGTCCTAACACAGCTGGCCCTATGAAAAAGACGTTCCCCATCTTTCCTATAGGCCCCCTTTAGGTACTGGAAGGCCGCAATCAGGTCTCCCCGTAGCCTCCTTTTCTCCAGACTGAACAAGCCCAACTCTCTCAGCCTGTCCTCATAGGAGAGGTGCTCCAGCCCTCGGATCATTTTTGTAGCCCTCCTCTGGACCCGTTCCAACAGTTCCATGTCCTTCTTGTGCTGAGGGCTCCAGAGTTATCCATAAGTTATCCTACAGCCAAACTAGTTAGTTAACCTTCCCCTCTTCCTGCCCCACTTCCTTTATCTTTTAAAAAGATAGGCAAACATCATGAAGAATAATTTAGCTGACTACATATTCTAAAGATGAAAACTGTTAAGTATGGGAGTTTGCAGTTCTGCTAGATGTCACCTCCCACATCCTCAGTTTTAGTAGTTCATCTTTAAGGTCATCCGCATCCCACAGCATGCTTTACTATATATATATTTTTTAATCTGAATTAAAAATCAGAGTTCTTTACTGACAAAGCAGCACAGTAAATTACAAAACGGTTGGGTTCCTTCCAGTAAAGGAATACTGACTGCATGACTTGGTAATGTTTGTACAAACTGATGAATATTCACTGGATAGGCTAACAAACCCGACAACATAGCAACTAACCACACACGTGCAATGAAGGATGAGAGATAAAGTTCTCCAGAATCGTTTAATAATTTCTTTGTAGTATGAAACTTTGATTCTAAGATTAACCAACTATGTCTAGTTTATACAGCTCACCATCAAGGTCTGCCATGCACTGGAGAGAACCAGTGCCTCATGCTAGACAGAATGATAGGCAGCTTGCTTAAGAAGCAATATACTTCAAAGCAAGTAGTTTAGAAAATTCTTCTAGACATTTATTCCCCTCCTTTCGTTTCCAGAGCAATGAACTGTAGCATTTTTTAATTAAAAGTGGAAAGCCAAGGTATGAGCACACATACCTGCACACATCTTAGTATTAAGTTTAACGACAAAAATACTAACATGTTAGATTGCCACAAATTATCTTTGCACACTCGTGACTGGCTGTTTTCTTTAACTCTTATTCCCTTCTCCCTCTGGTAGCCTTCCCTTCAAGTGAACACCCTGAATGCCCTCTACAACCCCTCTTTACTGTTTTTTAATGTTTCTCTTTCCCTTGTAATTTCTTATGGTCGGTCTTAATAGAAATCGATACAAAGTAAAACCAAAACAAATCCTGCCACCAGCAAAGGCTTGGAAATTACCACTCTCCTTTTTCTGTCCTGTTGTCCATGTCTCCACTCCATAACACTGTCTACTTAAGCTTCCAATGAAAATCCACAATAGACAGTCCAGGGTCATATCAAGAAAGGAACAGGTACCATCAAGTCTGCCCAGAATGAAGCTCAACCTAAAGTACCGAAATTGATACTGACTCACAGAAGGTTTTCAGCTATGCAATTACCTACTTTCTCTCTCTTCCTTGACCCCCCCAAAATGCATTTTAAAGTATTTGGAGGTTTTTCTTCTCCTCAGCATAAGCTCTCCCTCTTGAGATTTAAGCCCAGTCATACAGATAACATCTTTTAAAGTCTGCAATAAGGATGAGAAGTATTTTTTTTTGTTTTGTTCTTAGAAGAACCCCAAGAAGATTCTAATTCTTTTCAGATCTTAGAAGAAATCCAAGTTCTGAAACACAGAATTTTACCTTCCAGAAAGAAGTCCCATGCCACTGATCTGCACTAAGAGTGCCCAACTTCAGACTAGAGAAAAAAAGGATTTTTCATAATACTTAGTACTGGAAATGTTTTTACCAAAAAAGAAAAAAACCAAACCCCAAACCCATCAACTACACAGAAATATACTTGGCAAAAACTTTAATTTAAAGAAATTATACTAAATGCTATAAGCTTATTAAAGTGAGTAAAATGAAAAAGCCTGTGATAGCAGGCTGTGAAGCCTGCTAAGAGAACGAAGTATTTTATACCATCACAATAACTCTTTTGACTACTTCTTGGTGAAATTTTATTTTCAAGAGTTATTAAAGGCTTTTGGCAGTTAGCTGCCTCCAACAGTTGTGTTATGGAAAGAAAAAATAAAATGAGGAAACTTCATATAATTAAGGTGTTTCAGATGATTAAACTCACTGGCAATTCTTTCCATGATTCAGTTACTTATTCACATTAAAATGCTTATTAGAGATATGAACCATCAAGATAAGACAGCTTGCCACGTGTCTTAGTACTAAAACTTTACTGATTTAGAAGATAGTGCTGCTCCAATTCTCCTCCTGTTTTATGGTCTTACATATGTCACTGGAACATGGTCCTAAGCAAGAAAAGTCCATAGGATATAATCCATTACTGCTTTCTCATACTCATGGAATTACATAAGAAGTGAAAGACAGAATCATTATCTTCAATATAAACTCTCCTATGGTTTTTTATTACATAGTACAAACATTCCAGGTATCAAGAAGTTGTTGAAGTTATTTTATTTTTGTTCTTGAAACAGCTTCCACTATTTTCTCTCAATTCTCTCCCACAAAACATCCCTCCTAAAGAAAGGAAGTTTTGGTACTGTTTCCAGAAATGATGAAGTTACCAAAACTCAAACTTAATTGAAAAAAGCAAAGGAAATCTAAACAAATTGTTCCAACTCTTCAAACTGCAGAAATAAACAGAGAAAAAGGAACAGAAGAGTTATTTCTCTGTGTCAAAGACGCTTGCACTTATGAGCCATAAAGTAAACATGTTTATTTAGTATTCAAGAAGTGTTACATGCTAATAATGGCAGCTAAGACAGAATGGCTTGTAATAATAAGAACAAATCTATTCCAAACTGCAAACAAAATTAAAAGATTTTTGCTTTCTGTAATTGGAAAGACTACTTAGAAACCCTTTTCAAGGACTCCCTGAGTACATTTTCCATGGTTATTCTTTATCCCTGGTATAGCTACATAGCTCACAAATACTAATTTTCACTTCACAACAGTTATGTGGAAAAGAGAGCTTTGCACCAGAACTGCAGCATTACAAGAACAAACCTTTGATACTACCTTATTAAAGCACAAACTTTCTTTTGTCAAAGGGTCAACAGTTATTCACTTGTCTTTTGTTAAACAGAAAGGATTCAGAAAAGTCAACAGAGATTAAACAGTTTGCTGCCAAACTTCCCATTCCTGTTACGAATCTGCTATTAGTATCACAGAGCGTGGTCTCTGAAGTAATATTAAAACTGCAAAGAAAATGCCTACTGAAGTTATTTTAATACCAGATAGTGCTTGAAACAGTTATTCCTTGTATTATGGAAGATAATCTCAACATATTAACATACGTCAAAATACAACCCTAAAAGAGAGTTTCAAGACGCGTTAATTTTTCATTCTTACTTGAATATTCTTAAACATGTCAATTCTGATACTTTATACAGAAAAATTAGTTGTGTTTGCTGAGAAGGATATAAAACTATCTTTTCTCTATGAAAGAATAAGTTTGGTTTTAAAGAATTTTTTATTTTGGTTAGGCAAGAAATACTAGCTTCTCTAATTCGCCAAGATACTTGGGAAGTACTGCAATTCTAAGCGCGTATTAACAAACATACCTTCCTAACATCTGAGCTTTTAGGTTCTGTGGTCCAGGTGATGATTCGAGACACTGCTAACCTAGTTTCACTTGAATTTACAAAATCTCCTGGATCCATCTGTTGAGCAAGAGTCTCTATGTATTTAAGGATTGCAACTTTGACCTGCAAAGAGAAATAGAGTCAGGTGGACAATAAAAATGGCATGCTGCAAGAACAAATGTGCTCAGAGAGTAGTGTTCATTCCCTAAAATAAAGTTTCCCCAGTTAAACTAAACATCTTTTCAGCATTGATATAAAGCTCTATACAATAAATCAATGTAAAAATGGATATAACATTTCAAGAAGGGAGTCATTCCACAGAAATTCAAATATAAATATAAATCTTAGATGATTTCACTGGTAGCAACTAAAAGATACACAAATCACTGCATATGCAGAAGCTTATATTTAACAAAAAGAAAATCAAAGTACTCAGAATATTTAAGAACAATCAGGATTTTGAAGAATTATTCAGAATTATGAAGAACTTTTTTTCAGGTACTAAAATGAAAAATGAACAAATAATCAGTACCTATTAGTTCCTACTATGTAGTTACACTCAGCATTCTTTTGTAGAACACCAGAGTTGAGCAGTCACTATCTTTGAGGATAAGCCACATGAATCTTCCCATTAAAAACTAAAAACCAGAATTTCTATAAAAAACTTAGAAGGGGTCACATGCACACTTTTCCTTTGAAGATATTTAGAAGATAAGAGACATGGATTTACCAGGAGGATAGAAAGGCTGCTTTACTCCCTCATTTATCTGGGTATCATTCTCCTACTCCACTAACACCCTCTACTCCCTATGCACAATCTGTGTTTTATGCATCCCAGACTGCAGCCTCTCTCTAGTTTCTCCAAAGTTGCACCACTGCACAACTTTGGGCAAAGGGCTATTATGCCTGTATCTCCCTTAAATACTTTCTCCTCAACTCCTGCTGCCCCAAAGATTTGTCAACACAACCCATCAACAAAAGCAGTGAACATCTATTCAGGCCACCTGTTTGACTTAGCTGCTTTTATTTCCACTGATTATAGTGAACCAGAAATACCTACCGGGAGGGAGACACTTATGTCCATCATAACCAGAAAGAGAGTTCTGGGTGTATTTTTAATTGTTCAGGGCTTGTAGTACAACTGTTCAAAGCAGAGCTACATAGAAATTTCCCTTGGTCATGAAAACTTGCAAGCTATTAAAACCTCAAGATGCACTAAGTGACACACACATTGGTGATAACTTATATGTGTAGATTAATAATGAATACTTCATTTTCACAGCAGCTGTTAAAGCTCGACTCCTCCAAAGTTATACAACAAGCAACAGCTGGAGGCTTTCATCCTATGCAGATCAATATTAACAAATGCAGTAAACCCCACACTATTTGCTAGATTCTTTCCAAGGAAAAAAAGCCCACAAACATCTCCACAGCAAAAAAACCTTAGGCTACTTAATTTCCAGATGTGAAGTAGTAGTTAAAAGTTTCTAGATTGCCAAGTGAAACCACTATGACAGCATTATGTTTCGTGGTTCACGATTTAAATATATTAATATCACACTTAAAAAAAATTACCGTTAACAACTGTAATACTTAGAACATCTGGAGGCATTTCTCCCAATGAAAAAAATTCTGGAGTACTGTATCTGAGGAGAGCAGTATTATTCAGTGTTTAAACTACTCCCACAGACTTCCAGAAAGATGGAGGCTCTCAGCAGACAGAAGAGCAATGAACAGAAGATGAACGGAGAGAGTTCACACTAATAAAGCCTTTCACGGGGAGACGGATACCCAAAGCTAAGTTTGACAGCTATTTTAAAAGACAGTGTTTTTCACTAATTGCTTTTGAGAGAAGAAATTCTGGAAGGGGTACCCTTCTATGCTCAGATATAATGAGACAGTATTGTAACAGCTAAAAAAACCAGCCCTGAAGTAAACCCAGTAACAGTAGCAATTCTACTTATGTTGTGGTTTTGTCACTATTTCCAGTAAGTATGTACAGAGTGGAGATTTAGAAATAAGAGATCTAACATAGTCCTCCTCAACAACCCATTTAATCTCTCCGAGAAAGGAGATAAACAATTTTTGTCTGCAATGAAAGCAGCTCCAAGAATTCTTACAATGAATATTTGCTGTTAATCTGAAACCACTGTCTATGAAGTTTAATACTGTCTTGACTTTCTGTGCATCCTTCTAGGCTGAATTTATTGTACTTCTGGTGGACTATAAACACTGAGACATTTTTCCTGTACAGCATATAACACAAACAGACATTTTGTTTAAGAATAGCACTGCTGTAGTAAGTGAGCTGAAACATAGATCAAGCCATAACTAGCGTTGTTACTCACAAAAAACCCATTAGACATAAATGGAACTGAAGTGCTTCATAAACATCTTTCACAGACAATGAAATTACAAATTCTGGCACAAAAATATATGCAACTACCTCCAGAGATCCAGGAAATACTGTAAGGATGCTACACAGTCAGTGCTAGAAGGCAAATTGTTTTCCTGCCCTGTGAAAAGTTTAACATTTACAGAGTTTCATTTGCTGCATCAGGGTAAGATGAAAGAAAACTTCCACATAACAGGAAAAAAGAAAAAAGGAGAGAGGAATGTAGAGAAGCTTCTTTACTTAAATCATAAAAACATCCACCTCTTACAGTGCTTTCCTGGGATGCAAGAGACTCTACTCTGCCTTGCACAGACTGAATAAAAGAAATCATGCAGAATGACTTCCAGATTGCTACATGCCAATTGTCTGTCCCTAAGTTACCAGATACTTCAGAGTGACTGCCTCTGCCATTATTCAACCACATGACTACAATATACACTAAAGATTCATTTTGAAGGGCTCTCATCTCTGTGAATCTGTGTCATTTGTTGGCTGGGGTTTTTTTTAATCCAGAACTTTTAATATGGACTTAGAAAAAAAAAAAATTATACTGCAGCAAAAACCTTCGTCAACAGATCAGTCTTTTCAAAGGAGAAGGGTTCAGAAACTTGTAATGAACTTTGGTCACAATGCTTAATTCCTCACTGAGTGTGATCCATTTGATATTCAACCTGAGAAAAATGAAAGTGATGACTTGAAGCGTATTTTAGGCCAACGCTCATCTTTTGGAATGCATATATTCTGCCCCTGCAAAAATAAACTTAATAGATTATATCCTGTCTAGAAAATTTGACTCCTATGCCCATCCATAAACTTGACCAAAATAAATGTATATGCATCTGGCACCTCTGAATTGCGTTTGCACAGCTCATCACAACTACAGGTAAAATTATAGCAAAAGAAAGACAGATACAGCACAATACACTGTGCTGCATCCTCCACGGATTAGGTCAGTAGAATTCTCTCTTCTTTATGTTTGGTCCTCTTACTGGCTAGCTATCCCAATCCACCTCTGTGGCCACTGTCAAAGCTTGACTTTTACTGCACAAGACTTAGCTGTGTTTGTAAGAACGACAATGACAGTTTAAAGGATCATGATTATTTACTACTACTACATGAAAACCAGAGAGAAGAGCCACGAGTAGAAGGGAATCCTGCCACAGAGCAGATTTCTGATCTATCACCCCGTCTTATATCTGACCATCTTTAAAGGATGCTGAAAATCCTTTCTCTGATTTTCCCTGTCATAGTGAATGCTGTTTCTCAGTATATCTGTCCCAAAGGTACGTTGTACAACGAGATAGTAACTTCTCAGAGTGAGAACAAAAGCTGAAGACTTCCAAGAAATGGAGTAGGGCCCTAGGATTATCAATTAATGTTAGATACCTGGGTGCACTGAGGATGGGATTCAGACAAAATATTCAAGAATGTGGATATTAAATAGATACTTCCACAGTTTATGTTCAATAACTTTGTTGTCTGGATCCTGAAGCTGTAGTTACCTCATAAAGATTGAAGTAGGGGCAGATACCACTTTCTTTTGAAAAAAAACTTACCTTCTCTTAGACAGTTACATACTTTACCACCCCAAAAATTTATTTTAAACACTGTTCATTTTATTTCAAACTAACAAGTGTTCTTCTATGCAGGCAGCTTTTACTGACATCCTGATTTCAGAAGTCTCTTTCAAATACTGGCAATTGTTTTCAGAATGTCGTCTTATTAAGTGTTTCAGATTTCTTAATTCCTTCTAAGACACAAAGAACTTAGCCACAACTCAGCCTAGTAGGAGTCCATGTCTTGTTCCAAATCTACACTCTCAACTTCGAAATATGATCAATATGCATTTACCACCTATACTACTGTATGGAAAAAAAGAACATCTCAACCATCAAATTCATCCTCCTGGGGAGGAAAACCAAGTAAAACAAAACCAAGCCCCATTTGTTCCAAGGATTTATTTAAACAACAAACTGATTTTTACTACCTCATTTGCTGTCTTCAATAAATGACAGCAGTCCCTTTTTAACACAGCTCTACGAAGCAACAGTGGTCAACGTATCAACTGTCCTCAAAAGCTTAAAAATGTAAGTTTTACTGTATTGTAGACAAAAAAGGCATATGCATGTGACTTTATGTTCAACATAACTTGGGAAAAGTCATATTCTTGTGCAGTATCAAACGATGTAAAAATATTTCGTGCAGGATAGAGCAGAAAATGCCAGTTATCATATGCTTGTTATTTCCCCATTTACATCACTTGTAAATCTTATTAGGATTTGATGCATTTATCCTAAAATCAACTCTCTTTGGAACTGTAAATGTACTGTGGAATACATTTTTACTCTTCAGTTATACTGGCAAGTCTATGGACTACAGATTCTTATGTAAAAATGTGTGTAATTATAAAGCTGCACACTGCTTTCAGAAAAGTAAGTGTACCACAAAGGGAGCTGATTTTTAATACAGTAACTCAAGTTCATATTAATATAAATCTAAATTAATTCAAGACCTATCAGGCTGAACACAGGAAAATATATATGAACTAGGAAAACACGATTGGGAAATCACAAACATAAAATTAGAAAAGACTTGATAGAGTGAGTTTGCATAACCAGCTTGATGTTAGGCGGCCACATTTTTTTGCTCATTTTTACTGTACTGTGGTTTTATTAGATCTCTCTTGCAGCAAACATTTTCATACTAGTGTAATGTTTAAAATTGAATATCTGCATGCTTAAAGTTTCTTGCAAAGGTTAGTAGCAGCATACAAATGCATTCAAATAAAAAATTATTGGAAACACTGTAAGAGTTTGACAAAGGGTTAAGAATAAAGACAATAATTCAGACAAAAACCTTTGAGCTCCAAAAAGAGCGAAGCTGGTCCTGTAGTGCTGGCTTGACTGTCTGAAAGTTTACAAAAACAAAATCCACTAATTGAAAACCTTTTTTTTTTTTTCTTTTTAAACAAAACAAAAATAACAATCCAAATTCAAATATTAAGGCAAGCAAATATCTATCAATGAAGATTTTTGTTTGCAATGCAAACCTGAAAATTCTTACCTTCAGGCTAGGTGTTTGGGTCTGGTCAACAGTAAACCTCATTAAAATACTGAACTGGAGGTCATTTGGAAAAGATTCCCTGTAAAACAAAGCAAATTGTGTTATGTTATGTCTAATTTTATTTTAACATCTGTTGAGAGGCACTGAATTACCACTCGCTCTTTTCAGTAAGGAAAAGCTTTAGTACTTTTGAAAAGAAGAGTTCTACCATTTTTGTTGGTATTGTATCTGACTTTCAGAAACATTCATCTAGCTTGTAAAGGACAAAATCTAAGAAATTCCTGCTTCAAAGCAATTATGGCTAGAATAGGTAACATAAGTAACAAGGAATGATATAATAATGATATGGTAGTATTCTGATTTAAATCTATGCAATCCCCAAGTTACTAAGTGGTAGTACTGCTAGGGGTATACACCACACCCCTCCTGCACGCTCCTCTGAATCATCCTGTTACACTCTGGCTGCCTCTGCTCTCCCACATGCCACGGTCCAGGAATGACCCTCAAAGGCTCTGCTGCAGCAGCAAAAAAAGAGGTGTAGCAGATCATATCCTTGCTCTCCCTGCAACACACCCCATACCTTTCCCTGGATTTCACAGCAGATCTGCCACATGAATAGGTTCAGCAGAGGCCTAAAACGCTTTAGACTGTCTCGTACTTCAGAGAATGGAGGATGAGTAGGTCCCAGAGCCCCTCCAACTCCACTTTAAAATCTAGCTTTCCTTTGGAAATAAAATTGGCCAGGGATGCGCAGTTCTGATGGTCCCCCAAATCACGTAACATCATTTCGGAACCAGGATATTAGTGAAGTTTGGGGGGAGCGGAGGGAAGATAGAAAGCAAATCTATTATTGCCATAACTCCTTAAAAGCCTGCTGACACCGAGAGATGAATATTGCAATGATATTTTTATATCAAAATAAAAATGTTCAAACACAAGCACTGCATCACTGAATGCAAGGCAAGACAACAAATATATATGGCTCAGATGCACATTTTGGAATCAGGTAGGTAGTATCATATTAATTGCTCAGCATTAAGGACTCAAACCCTTTCAACTAAGAGTCTTTTAGGAAACCAAAATGCTTAAGCAGCAAGGTTTACTGAAGTTTTGCGATCTGTTGTTAGCCCTGCATTCTTCTGAGAATCTCACAGCCCACTAAAAAAAAAAAACCAAACCCAAACTTGGAAGTAGCGTAAGGGTTTGGAATTTTCTTTAGTGGTTTGGGTTGGGGTTTTTTTAATTATTTTTTTAAGAACTCATTACCTTGTGACATCAAGTGCCTTCTGAACTTTTGCTTGTACAGACCCAAGCAAATCAGCACCCATTTTTTTCAACAGCTGTGTCAACAGTACAAACAACCAGTCCTGCAGATCTTCTTTATGGACCTGGATGAAGTCCACCAGTGTCTCCAAAAACATACTGAACACCTAAAAGGCAGAAGAAGATGGAAAGAGGGTAGGATGGGGCAAAAAAGGAAACGACACTGACGTATGCTGAACTTACAAACAAAGAAGAAAGCAGTAAGGGATTCGGAGGCAGAGAAAGGCAGTGGTTTGCAGCCAAGCAGGAATTAAAAAAAAAAAAGGAAAGAAAAAGAAATCTGTCTTGCTTTTTCATTGGATTTTGATACAAGAGTACACTGGAAATGTTAGCCGACTTCTGTAGAAGTTTGACAATTAGGTATTCCATGCAGTTTCGTCAAGAAAATAAATGCTTACTGTGATGGCTGGCGCAACCTCAATTTTTTCAGTAAAACTTAACTTTTTACCCTTTCAAGCTTTATCATTAAGTTGATTTGACATATTCCTCAAAGACTACATAAACACTTTCTGTCTCAAACCAAAAAAGCTGCTACATTTCTTTAGCAAAGTATTCAGTGTAAGTATCTGCATTACTAAATACTGCGAAATCATGAAAGCTGGCCAATTCCTTTACATAAAATATTTGTGGAACAGAACAAGATTCTCCTGCTATCGCAGGTATCCAAACACAAAATTATTCACCAGAGCAGGGAAAAAAGCCACAACACGTTTCAGATTGGCAGGTGTTTAAAACACAGAAGTACTTCAGTCTTTTCAAAAACATGTTCTCCATCGTGTTCTTTTCAACAAATAATGTTGAATTCAATAAATACAAATAATGTTGAAAAGACTTCATTCAGTAAAAGAAGACATATATTACTGTATGTATAGTAACCTCAGCACTCAGACCAGGAAGAAGGGCTTTTTGGAGGGAAGGGGTAAAGCAGGGCATAACAAATAGGTAACTTTGTTTAAACAGCCTTTTCAGCATCTCACTGATTTTATGGTGTTTTCAAGACTTACAGAGAAATCAGGATGTATATGCACTATGCCACAGTGTGGCCCATGGGTTTCCCATTTCTCTGGTAAGAAAAACGGGTGTTTGGGCTGAAAATGCTACCTTCACAACTGATAGGCACTCCAGCACGTAGCTGGGTACAGAAGCAGAAGTATTTCTATGATGCAAAGAGGGTTGGAGAGACGTTGCCTCCTGAGTATTTATGACACGGGTACAAGGTTGGAAATAGCTGCTGCAGAGGAAGGGCTGGAACCCCACATCCTCTGGCGGCTGACCTGGCTTGTCAGAAGGCCAAAAGCTGCTGCTGTCTGTGAGAGTGGACGATCCCAAACTGTGACCACACCTCACACACTGCTGCAGAAAGCAGTCCACGGGAGTGGGCTTTCTTCCACAGCACTGATCGAGTATGGAGAAGTTGGCGCATGCTGCTGCATGCCTTCAACGCTGAGGAACTTAGACCTCTCTTCATGTTGATAATCAAGCCACAGTAAGCAACTTCACACCATAAAGTGAAAAAATCCATACAGGTATCTTTAAAAGAAGTGCCTTAGAATTTACTTTAGAAATAAAAAATAAATTCAGATTCTTTCAGGATGTAATAAAGACCAGGGAGAATCTTTTAAGAGACATCTCAAATACTGAAAAGCTGTGTTAGAAACAAAACAATACAAATCCTACTCAACATAAAGCTCTTCAGGATGAGCTACTTTAAATTGACTTGCCTTTGGGGGCAAACTACATTGAAAATTGTAAAAAACATAAAAAAACCTAAAAATGATTGTTAACTTCTCTTGTATCTGTCCAGATTTGTATTCAAGTCTGAAGTTTAAAAATTACCCTCCCAGGAGTGAGAAGAAATTTTTATGCTTGGGATTGGAAATAACGTCTTCTGTATTTGGCTGAACTGAACAATACAGCGCTTTGTGGATGCACAAGCAGTGGGCACAATTATAAGACCCAGTCAAAAACAAACCAAAAAGCACTTTCTGTATTGTAATAAGACAGTCTTTGCATTTCATAGCCCTAAAATAAGGGGAAAATATATTGGACTTAGGCAAACAACAAAAAAATTTCTGGTGCTATAAAGATTACACTGGGGGTCTTGCAACTGTATTTAAAACCCTCCAAATTAAACTATACAGCTCAGCAGAATTTAAAAACTGTACCTGTTTCTTTGAGTTTGCAGACACTGACACACATGTCTTTAAAATGTGCAATCTGAACAAACTGGTTACAACCTCTTATTTGATGGAGTCATGTGGACTTCTTATGACACTTTCAACACGTAAAGTGATTTAAATTGAAATGATTATGAAGTAAATTATGAATCACTTGTGGCAAAAATACTCTAAAGATCCTGTGCTAATGTTTTAGCTGTTAAAAACACACATAACTGAGGACTTAACTTTGTTTTCAAGCTTTGTTTGATTTTAGGTTTACCACTGGGGAAGTCCGGAGAAAACTCACATAAGCGGAGTCATTTTGTTTGCATTTAAAAAAAATATGAATCATACAATTTTGTCTTAGGCCAACACATGAAGAATTTATGAAGGCTATAAGAGCATTTAAGGTAAAGGATGAATTTGGAATGGAAAAATGGAACTCAGCCACCTATATATTGAACAATGTATGTGGGTACTGCGATTTTTGCAGTTTTCATTTTTATGATGTAAATTAAAACTCTGAAATCAAGCATATAAAGTTTTTAATAATTTGACAGTGGAAAAAATAAACAGATATGAAAATAACTATAAGTCATCTACCTCTAAAGTGAATTATTTCAGATGTGCCAACCACCACAATATAAAGCAGAAATGCATAACCAAA